GCACTGGCTTATCTCTGAGAGATTAGCACCAGCTCCAGTTCCCACTCAGCTCCAGTTCCCACTCAGCCCCTGTGTTCCTGCCCCAGGGCCTTTGCGTGTGCTGCAGCTGCCCCAGTGCCCTCTCCTGTGTCCCTCTACCTCTAAGTGACCCAGTTCTAGTTTACATACCTCTGCATCTGGGAGGGCAGCCTCTGCAGCAGACCCTGTGTGACCCCAGCAGGTCCCTGACACTGTAACACTGTCAGTACTGTTGGGAGGACAAATAATGAGTCCCTTGCAGGTCCTCACAGGGTCGAGTGTCCCATGAGCACAGTCTTCAAAAACCCAGCATCATGGCTTTTCCCGTAGAGGGCTTCAGTCCCTAGAGAGGGGCCCTCCCTACTTTTCTTTGCCATCTTCGGGGTCCCCTCTCTGTCACTGGAGCCTGGAGCAGGAGGCACAGGGAGCGTCTGCTGTGACTATTTTGTTCTCAGCTGTGTCTCCAAACCTGGAACCACAGTAGGTGCACAGTAAGTGCCTGTGACCCAAGCAGGCCAGGCTCCATGCTGGGGTTTGTACTGCTGCTGCAACAGGGCAGGGAGGCAGCCCAGGCTCAGAGGCCACAGCAGACAATTTGAGTCCTTCCCGGAGCCCGTGGCCATTCAGATTCAAGAGGGAAAGGTGTCCCCACTGTCCTGCTGGATCAGCAACATTCTGCCCAGCACCTGCTCCAGCTGCATGGCTGCAAGGGGGTGACAGGTGCTCAGGTGACGGACGCAGCGGGGCTATCCAGCTGTCACAGTGCCACCAAATGGATGTGCTTAGAGTGGGGTCCTTCTAAGTGGGCACTGCAAGCCCAGCTCTGGGGAAGGGGGGTTCTCACCTGAAAAATGTGCATAACAATTGCACTGCCAGGGATGGAATGAGGACGGTGTGTGGCGCTCACCCCCCACCAGGCCCTTCCAGTGTACGCAGGTGCTGTTATTCACCCCTCGGGGCAGGTGAGGAAGCAGAAGCCAGCCTGGTGGAGCCACTGCCCAGGTGGATTGAAGCCCAGGTGTCCTTCTGGCCTCCTGCTGAACTATAGGTCCAGTAGGTTGGAGCCCACCATCTGTTAACTGTTAATGGTGCTTAGGAGAAGAGGGACACTGGGCCCCCCTGTAGTTCCTGACGAAGTGGTGTGCTGTTTTACAAATAACCAGTAGAGGGTGCCCTTGAGCCACGACGCCCGCTCCAGCCAGTGCCCCCAGTAGGCCTGGGGAAGTCTGAAGCTGATAGGGAATCTGCCATGTGCCAGGGGCATTCTGGGTAGATCCCAGATGTGGGGTCTCAGGCATGAGCTTGTCTGGCCCAGGGCTTTGGAAGGATGAGAGTGGGGGCTGAGACAGAAGGGAAGGGGATGCTCCTGGATTCCGTATGTCCTCGAGCCACGCCTCCCTTCTGACCCTTGTGCCCTTGTGGTGTGACTATGAATGTAGGTTCCGCTCACAGCCTGAGGTGGTCCCAGCAGGGAGGTGACCTGTCTTAGCAGGAAGGTGGCACTGGCCTTCACCTCTAGTTCAGTATCCCCCTAGCTCCTGGCCAGCTGGATGTGTGCAGGCCACTTCTCCCACACCATCTCCTACAGGGTTGGTGTCATGGCTCCATTTTTATAGCCAGGGAAACTGAGGCTCAGAGAGTGAAGCGTCTCAGCCACCCAGCACAGCCACCTAGCTCATGGTTCCCAGAATCACCTGGGAGCTTTTCCCCTAAAAGCACAGAATCAGCCCCTCTGAGGCAGAACCCTGGGGAGGGGATTACTAAAACCTCCCAGGTGGGCCCAGCAGCCTGGAGCCAGCAGAGGCCAAAGCCGTGCCTCAGAGCCTACTCAGCTGGGTACTGAAGTGTCTTCTGCTAGGGCTGTGCCTGCTGTTTGCACAGTAGAAGGAAGGGGGTCCAGGCCAGGGGACCCCAAGCACACGGCAGAGCCGCCCTCTCAGGAAGGCTTCCTGTGTAGGCGCTGTCCTACCTGAGCCTGCAGTGGGCCTGGGTCCCAGCGTCTGCTGGGTCCCACCTGGGCCTTGGTGGCCTGGAATCCCAGCCAAGCGCTTTCCTTCAGGAAATAGACCTTTAATAGCTTGAGGCAGACTCATAACTAACCGAACAGCTCTGGCCACTGCACAGACAGCTCCTTGTCTGGGGCAGCGTTGGCGGTCAGTTTTTAATGCCCAAAGTCACCTTGGCCCTCCTGAGAGCTTTGCCCTCTGCTCTGCCACCTCTGCTGTGGAGGCCGGGCCACCCTGGGGACTGAGAGGGGCTGGCCTCCTGCCTTCCTCCTTCCCTCCCTCCTCCTGGCTGCCAGCATCTCTCTAGGGCTCCTGAGCCACAGTTGCTTCCAGATTAATGGTGTGGGCTTTGAGTTCAAGCTCCAGGCCCTGTTAAAATGCAAATGGGGGCCCAGAGGTGTGTGGCTTTTGACTGTTAGCATCTTGCATTAGAATTTTGTTGGACTATTTGAGGAGGAGTGCTCTGAGCTGTCCTGTCAATGAGCTCCTCCAGCCTCCTTTCCCGGGGCCTCCTGGGGAAGTGCTTTGCCAGGAGAATGTCTAGGCAAAGTCTGTCGATCCATTTGTTCCCTCACAAGCAGCCACAGCCAGCTAGGCAGGTGCTTTGTTTTTACTTTTTTTTTTTTTTTTTGCAGTACTGGGGTTTGAACTCAGGGCCTCCAGCTCTCGAGGCAAGTGCTCTACCACTTGAGGCACACTCCAGCCCTTAGGCAGGTGCTTTGAGTTTGGGTTTTTGGCATGTTTGTTGAGGTGCTGTTATCTCCTGGGACACCTGGCATGTCCCAGGTCAGCCTCCCAGAAGCCGTCCTGGGGGCTGTGCAGCAGCAGTTGGCTAACCATAACCCTCAGCTGGATCTGGCCAGCTGCCTGCTTTTACAAATAAAATTTCGTTGGAACAGCATGGCGGCTAACTTCCCCCAGGGCCAGCCATCTAAGAGAGGACAGAAACGAGTGGCAGTGTCTTAGAACCTTGCTTTTGAAGTCATTGTCACTTCTGTCCTATTCTGTCCCTTAAAAGTGGTTCTCTAAGTCTACCCCTCCCCCCAGGGCTGACAGTCCACAGCTGTGCACATGGTTTAGAGCCACCACACTGACCGGTGGGTCGATGGTGCCAGGGCCTGAGGAGTAAGTACAGAAGGTTGTCACCACTGTACTCGGCTCCTGCCATCGCCAGGGTGTTGACACTTAAGCTAATGCAACCTGAGTCTGTGCTTCTGGGGGACAAAAAACCCCAAAACAAAGAGGAAGGATGGAGTTGAGGATCTTAATGCCTGATTCAGTGTTGCCAAAAACTTGGGAGGTTGGTGGGAGTGTTGAGATGGCTTCTTACTATGTAGTCCAGGCTGGCCTTGAACTGTGAACCTCCTGATCTCTTCCTTAGTAGCTGGGATTAAAAGCATGAGCCACTGCACTCATCTTTTTTGTTGTTTTGAGACAATTTCTCACTCTGTTGGCTAGGCTGTGCTCTAACTCATGATCCTCTGCCTCAGCCTCCTGAGTGCTGGGATTATAGGCATGCACCACCACACTTCATGCAGAATGCAAAACACTTATTAACCGTCTTGGGCTTGGTGCTGGGCTCAGGGGAAATAGAGGAGTGAAATTATGGCTGCCTTCAGGTGCTCTCAGCAAAGGCACACAGGAGTAAGAACTGGTCATGCCAGTCATGCTGGGGACTTGATGAATTTTGTTACCCTGGTAAAGGAAGAAAACACACTCCAGGCCTGCAGAGCAGCACACAGCAAGGCAGGAGGGGGTCTCAGAAACCCAGTGAGTTTGGGGACTGAGTGGTCTGGGAAGTGTGGGCAGGCAGAGGGAGGGGAGGGCAGATGGTGAGGGCGGGAAGCTGGACTAAGAGGCCGGATTAATTGCCTATAATTGACATTTCCCAGAATGCATTTCATGATTCTGTGCGGTATTAATGAGTGTTTCTCCAGAAATGGACTCTGAGTTCATCCAAGTTCAGGAAGCCCAGGCAGGGTTACGCACAAATAAAAATCCTTCCTCACTGCAGGACTTCTCAGAACCTTTAGCTCTCTACCCTGCTGTGAATCTCCAACAGTCCAGAGTACATGAGATTCAGTCATCAAATGTGCTTGATTCCCAACCTCATCTGGTTGTGGAACCCCTTCCTGAAGCAGCTCAGAGGGCTGGTGTTTCAGGAAACAGGCTTTGGGAAATGCTGCCCTTAGGCCTTTGTCAGGAGCTAATGCATTTTCTGAGTAGGGCGTGGTGTGATGGGATTTGCTGTGCAGGGAAGATTGGAGCCAGTCAGGCCAGGAGGCAGAAGGAGGAGCGGGGGAGCGTGAGGAGGGAGAGGAGGCAGAGGCAGAGGGGCAGCAGGGTGAGGAGGAAGGAGGAGAAGGGTGAGGCTTGGGTTGCCGGTGGCTGCGCTGGCTCCTACGGGATGGGGGTGCACGAGGTGAGAGTGGATGTGGCTAGACGCCAGCTGGAGACCCGAGGCCAGACTCTGCCAAACGTCCTGCACTTGACCTACTGGCGAGGTGAGCCTCTGAGCTCGGCAACTTAGAAACGGACGGATTCCTGGAAAGGCACCACTGGCCCAAACTGACATGAGGTAGATTGCGTTTGATTCCGTTTAAGAATCCACATCTGTTCCCCAAAGCTCCTGCACAAGGACATTCCCGGGCCCTGGTGACTACCTCGGAGAAGTCAACCCATGGCTTAGAGTCCGGGGGACACTGTGGGTACCAGCCACGTGTTCATCCCTGCTCTGGGCACCCAGGAAACCTCAGTGAACGGGACAGATGGAACTCACTGTCCTCATGGAGTTTGCAAGCTTGAGGGCTTTCCTGAGCCTCAGTTTCCCCATCTGTACAGTGGGGGCTAGCCATGCCTCCTTGCTGAGCGTCGGGAGGCTCACCCGCCAGGGAAGGGAGGGAGATGGCTTGTGGGGCAGGCGGCTCCCCAGAGATGCTGACACCTGTCTCTGTTGTGTGTCTGCTGCCTTCTCAGGCTTTAAGATGTGCGTCAGTGCCAGCAGTAGCCATGACGAAGCCCCAGTCCTAAATGACAAGCACCTGGATGTACCCAACATCATCATCACACCCCCGACCCCCACAGGCACCATTCTGCCTAGGGACTCCCGGCGAACAGGTGAGGCCACGCTGCCATGCTGGAGACAGCCCATGCATGGGTCCCCCTCTGCCACTGCTGACTTGGGTCCCCACCTCCCCCTAGGTTTAGTGAAAATTATGGTCGTCTCTGTGTGTGCTCTGTGGGCCCCTCGCCACAATGCCAACCCCAGCAAGCTGTGGCATGGGAAGTAATTAGCGAGACAGCCCTCGCCAGCAGTCCAGGACAGGACGAGTGATGGATAGGGTTGGGCTGGCCCACCACGCCATGCATTCCGCCAGCCATGATAGTGATGGATGCTCCTTCCCTGCCAAGTGTGTGGGGGGAGGTGCTCCATCTTGCTAGCTGTGAGGTCTGCTGGACAGGGTGGACTCAGAAATGCAGCCCTACCAGGCTGCGGCTGACCCTGAGCCACTGAGGTGCGGTTCACGGCAGCAGGGAAGGGATGTGGACATTTCCCCAGAAATAGCATGAGAGGAGGAGGCCCTGCTGGCACCCTGCCTGTCCCTCTTTGATGCCCTCAGAGCTGGTGGGACACTGTTAACTGTTCACTGCACAGAGATTGACTAAGTCCAACCTGTGCTAGGGGTGGGACCCATGGTTGTGAGGGACTCTGATATGATAAGGAGCAGGTTTTCTCATTGGTCCTTCAGTGACTAGGTTAGGTACAGATTTCACCTCCATCTTACAGATGGGTAAATCGAGGCTCAGAGCAGTTGAGACACTCACCATGCAGCTGGCAGAGCAGCAGAGTGAGAATCAGACTCGGGCTGTGTGTTCTGGGACTCGTACCATGCATGGAGCATCATTAAGCCACCCAGCCATGGTGGCAGGGGACACACTGCTGCTGAGGCTGCTCTGGGACATGTGGAAGGCACAGCCCAGACAGACACTGGGATGGGCTGTTTTCCATTGTGCTAAGTGAGACTCTCAGTTGCCCACCAGACCAAGTGGCCAGAAGGATGCCATCGGACGCCCGTGCTGGGCCCAGGCAGGTGCTGGGTGGGGTTATGCACCGTAGTGATGGTAGTAGGCTACCGTCTCAAGTCATTTTCCATTGCTGTCATGAGAAAAGATTCAGTTCACAGCTTAGGAGGTAGACAGGTCAAATGGCGTGCAGATGTGCTGTGTCAAATCGTGGGTGTGGTACAGGTGACATTGTTGGGGGGGTGTCTGCGCACAAGAGCCCAGGTGAGACAGGAATCAGCACAAGAGCAGGGCCAACCTTGTTCTTTTTATGACATCCACCCAGGAGAGAACTAACTCAAGGTCCCAGAGAAGGACTGTAACCCCTCCAAAGGACAGTGACCCAGTAATGTCACTACACCTGGCCTCTTAAGGATGTCCACTCCTCTCAACATCACCACACTGAGAACCAGGCTCTTGGCACACAGTGTCTTGGGAGAGAAGCCTCATGCAAACTCCAGGAGTCACAGTTCCACACTCTTGTGTGGCCCGTCCCAGTCGGTGCCGGGTGCTGGGCTCGATGCTTTCCACGAGTCTCAGTTGATTCTCAATTCCAGCTGCGTAGGCTGTGAGTACTGACCTTAGCTCTGGTTTAGAGATGAGGAAAGAGAGGTTCGGAGAGGGACGGTGACTCACCAGGGGCACCCCAGCCAGTGTCTGAGCCAAGAGCTCAGTGTGGGCACTGGAGGCCTCAATCCCCAGCTTTGCTCTTACATCCTCGGCCCTCTCCAAGCCTCGGTGTTCTCAGGTCCCACTGTCCAGCACTGGCCATGCAGTCAGAGCACCCTGAACTTGAGCCGTTGTTCAACCATGTGACTGCAAGCCAGGGCTCCACCTCCCTGAGCCTCAGTTTTCTCGTCTTCGAGATGGAGGTAATAGGAGCTCCTCTGAGAGGCAGAGTAGTGATGAGGAAGGTCAGGGCTGGTCTAATGCCCGCAGAGGCTGTGCTACGGATAGAAGCTCACCAGACCTGGCTAGGCCCCCTGCACACTGCGGGGGGCACTTCTTACCCTCCAGGGCCTCCCCCGGCAGTGAACCCTGACCGAGCACCCTTCTCTGCTCATAAACCCAAGAGGGTCATTGATCTCCCCCAGCTACTAGCAAAGGAGGAGCCAGGTGGGCTCAACCCCAGAACCTCAGGCAGAGACTCCAGAAGGTGGGGTATGGATGGCAGGCAGGATGGAGTGCCTGGCAGCATCACTGGGGCCGCCTCCCAGCCTCCAGTGACACCACTGACCAGATGTCGGGGAGATTCGGGGAATGGTATGGGGGTCCCAAGCCCAGCCCAGAAGCTTGCAGGAAAAGGGCTGACTGGGGTGGGGGACGGTCCATCCATGTTGACACCCTCTTTTTCCTAGTCTGGCTGGATGAGACGGGGAATGGCTTGGATGATGGAGAGATGGACCCTGAAGCCTGAGGAGTCGTCTTGTCATGGCTGCCTGGGCAGCTGTGCTGAGCAGCTGAATGGTGACCTGGACCAAGATAGGGGTGGCAGGATGAGCAGGGCATGTTTTCAAGTGGACCAGACATCCAACGCCTCCATGTTCTTACCTTGGCATGGCAAAGGGGAGGAGACTCTGTCCTGCAGTCACTGTGATGGCATGGAGTGCCAGGGAGATAACCATCTTCCAAACAGACCCACGCTCCCAGAACCCTGGCCCCCAAGGTCATGGCACACAAGAACTTCTTGCCAGAGGAGTGACTCCATTTTTTACAAGTTGTTTCACAGATACCAAGACAGCCCCAAACGTGATTTATAATTTCCTCTTTTGCATTATAAATAAAGACCCTCATAAGGACTGGTGCATCCTGCTTCTCGGGATGGAGAAGCAGGGAGAGAGGGGAGTGGGAGGGTCACTGCACATGGGGAGCCATTCTAGCCTGGGTCTGGTCTCTGGGTGACCTCCAGCCCTCAATTTTCAGACCACCATGTAGGCCTTAGTATGGCCAAGGACACAGGTTCTGAGGTCACATGTGCACCCCCCCCCCAGCTGTGAGGTGCTGGTGATGACCATCCCTAGGATGAGAGGCAATAAGGGTTATTTTGTTTTTAAGAAAACATCAAGTAGCTGGGTATCGGCGGCTGAGGTGGCTGAGGTGGCTCAGGCCTGTTATCACAGTTCGAAGCCAGCCCCAGACAAATAGTTCACGAGACCCTATCTTCAAAAAAAAAATCATAAAAAAAAGGGCCTTGTAAACGTGAGGCCCTGCGTTCAAACCTCAGTGCCCCCCACACACACCAAAAAAAAGCATAAAGTTGCTGGCATCCCCATCTTCCTAACCACCAAGCTGATCCTGGCCGTGTGTCATCCCTGGAGTTTGGCTTCCTCACTGTCCCCAGAAGCAGAGCCTGAAGCAAGAATATGGCTGCTGGGAGGAACATGGGAGGTGGTCCCAGGATGACCTGGTAGAAGGTGGGGACATGAATTCAGGTCCTGAGCCTCTCTTGGAGCTAATTTTCCACTAGAAGCACTCTTGGACTCAGAAAAGCAGGTGGAGGTATGACTGTGGTGTGGTACTGGTGGGGACTGAAACCAGAGCAGGGTGAAGGGCCAGGAGAGACCAGGCTGGTCTCCATAGAGTCGTGACAGCACTAACTCCTCTTGACACCACTGTGGGACAGTGATGTGTGACCGCACACAGGGAGTGGTGCCAACTGGGCAGCTCCTCCTGCCTTGGTGTCCAGTGGTGCCAAGGATTGAACCCAGCTTGCACATATCAGGCAAGCGCTGTGCCGCTGAGCTACATCCCCTGCCTGTGGTTCTTTGAGACAGGGTCTTGTTATAGGTAGCCTTGAACTGGAGATTCTCCTCCTCCTGCCTCCCAAGCGCTGGGATTATAGATATACACCACAATGCCTGGTTGTCTGGAGGGTTTTTTGTGTGTGTGTGAGACTGGGATTTGAACTCAGAGCTTCATGATTGCAAAGTAGGTGCTCTACCACTTAACCCATACCTCCAGTCCATTCTGCTCTGGTTATTTTGGAGATGGGGGTCTCTCAAACTATTTATCAGGGCTGGCCTCAAACCACAATCCTCCCAATTTCAGCCTCCCAAGTAGCTAGGATCACAGGCATGAGTCACCAGTGCCTGGCTGTTCAGAGTCTTTACTGGTGCTTAAAGCACACAGGTGTGGCTGACCGTGTACATGGCTGACCTGAGCCTCCAACCCCTCAGAGGTCAGGCTGACCCCTGGTGGCCTGAGGCCCCCACACAGATCATATCCTCAGGGTAGCCTGTCCAATGTGGCCCAAAGCCCAGGTAAACTGACACTGCATCAGGCAGAACACTCCAAGGGCTTGGAAGTGACCACCCAGGAGCCAAGGCAGAGGCCAGACCTCCCTTTGGGCATGTTTAGTCCTTCACTGCTGAGGAAGCAGACAGGGAAGGGAAAGGAAGGACCCACGGAGGGTGCACCTACACTTGGACGCACTGCGGCCTCTGGAGAGCCATGTGAGCCTCTTAGCATTCCCTGCCCCTGAGGGGTGAAGGTGTGGGGTCTGCACCCTTCCCCTCCCCCCATCTGTCTCCTAAGGGCAGTGGGAACCACATAGCCCCTCAGCCTGCCCACCCATGGACAGCAGAGGACAGAGGACATGTGGCCACAAGGGAAGCTGCAGCCCTGGGATGTGGAGGGTCCCACAATCAGTGGCTCCCTGGATGCATGTCCTGCACATCACAGTAGGGCCCAGCCTCAGCCCTGAAAGTGAAGCAGCTGGTTCTGTATCCAGCCCACATGCACCTTGGCACATAGCGGCAGCCCATGGACTAGGTCGTCAATCCCCTGGCCACCCACCCACCTTCTCCCTCGGCCCATCCTCTGAGCCTCAGGAACTGCTCCCTTTGACCCTGCACCAGCCTGGATGTCATCTGGGCTGCTCGGCCTCTGCGCAGAACTCCTGATTTTCTCACCTTTGCACTGAGATGTTACCTGTGTCAGAAAGCATAGCATGTGCAGTTCCATTAGGTGCGTGTGCATCCACCGTGGACACCTCACTCCCTGTGGATGGAGAGGAGTGGCTCTCCCACTGCCACCAGACCCCAGCGAGGCCCAAGGGGAGTCCCTGCTCCCATTTCACACTCCACACGGACCACACAGCAGGGCCTGCCTTATCTAGGGCACTGGCCCCACAGTTCTTGCTATGACACTGTTCCTTAGGCTGGGTGATTAAGAAGCAAGAGAAATTTATTGCTCACAGCTCTGAAGGCTGGAAGTCCAAGATCATGGCACCAGATGATTTCCATGTCTGGTGAGAACCACTTTCTTAAAGATGGCGTCTTTGAGCTGTGTCCTCCCATGGTGGAAGGGGTGAACAGCTCCCTTCAGCCTCTTTTATAAGGACACCGGCCCCATTCCTGAGGACATTGCTTCTGGCTCAGTCACCTCTCAAAGTCCCCACCTCTGCATCCTATCACATTGGATGTTAAGTTCCAACATGTAGGTTTCAGAAGGGTACCAATATTTAGACTGTAGCAGTGACACAAGTGGCCTGAATTAAAATGGGTTTTAACAAAATATTGGCAATACAGAAAGATACATACATTTCAAAACAACCCAGATCCCTGGGGAATTAACAGCTGGAACCAGCTCTCTATAGGAGATTTTAGGTCCCAGGCCTAAACTCCTGGTTTCTATAGGTCAGGTCCAGCCACTCATCCTAACGTATCAAATAGACAAGTAATGGTGAAGGGCAGAGGAAAAGGTTTATTACACAGACCAGGCGCTCTGCAGGAAGAGGAAGGTAGCATTTGAACCCATCTTGTGCAAACACTCAGGGTTAAATACAAGGACTTGGGGACAGAATCGTGAAACAGTCCCAGTCACAGGTGTGTTCCCATGTCATAGCTGATCACAGGGGCTGTCTCAGGATTGGTCAGGGGGCTCCTTGCCACAATAAGAGGTTTTGCTGCCTGGCAGGTGGTCTTTCACTCCTGTTTGGTCCTTCCTGGATTACAAAATGTCTGCACTGTGACTGCTGGAGAATGGCACAGAGCAGAGGATGCAGATGAACGATGGATGCTGGGATGCCTACCTGTTACCCTGCTTGCAGTTAATTGGGGGGCCCAGGCCCCCCAGTTAATTAAATTAATCTAATTAAATTGTGTTTTTCAGCAAAAGCAGTTGAAGTACCTGTGATAGCCCCATCCCCTGTTCACGTCTGGCCTCAGGTCAAGGAAAAAGATGAAGCTGCCATCTTGCTGTCCCCTCCCCATCTTCCTCCTCTGCTCACTCTACTGGGCTCACTCTGCTCCAGCTTCCAAACCATCTCACAGCTTTCTTCACATTGGACCATCAGTGCCTTTGGGTTCCATTGAGTTTTGCTCCTGTCACCCCTTGCCTCTGTCTGCTTCGTGTGACTCTGCCTGCCCCAGTCTGGCCCCTGGTCTGATGGTAGAAAGGTGGGCTTCTCCTCTGCCCCTGTCCTTCATTCTGCTGCCAGCTCATGCTCCAATCCACCTCCACCCTGCTTAGCAACCTCCACAAGCTACCCCCACCCCAAATAGAGGCCAGGCTCTCAGCCTCACCCACCCTTCATCCAACCACACCCAACTCTTCCTTTTCCTTGCACACATACCTCTTGTTCTGCTTATCATTGCTGTGTAACAGATAACCTCAAACTTTAGTGGACTGAAACAACAGTCATCTATTTGACTTCCAGTTCCACAATTTGGACAGGACCTGAAGGGACAGGTCATCTCTGTTTGATGAGACTCTAGCTGGTATGGGTTTTTTTTTGTTTGTTTCTGTTTATTGGCGGTACCGGGGTTTGAACTCATGGCTTCACATTTGCTAGTCAGGCACTCTTACCCTTTGAGCCACTCCACCAGCCCTCATGAGACTCTAGCTGGGACCTGTGATCTGGGGCTGGAAGATGGACTTGGAAGATGGCACCCCCACATGACACATTTACCCACCTCATGGCTGGTGAGTCGGTCCTGGACTCTCGGTGTCTCTCCACAAGATCTCCAAGGGCAGCTGGACTGCTTCACAATATGGCAGCTGGGCTCCAAGCACGGGCAGTTCCAGAAAACCATGTGGGACCTGTATCGCCTGGAACCAACTAGTCTCTGAAGTCACATGGTGTCATGGCCTTCCTAGATTAGAGAGTAGGAACACTGACAGCACCTCTTGAAGGAACAATGTCCAAGGCACATTATAAGAAGAGGGTGGGGATATGTGTGGCCATGCTGTAGCTCGATGTGTTCCCCAGAGTTCACTGTTAGGAACTCAATCCCCAAATTCATATGCTGCTGATGGTATCTGGCGGGGAGGCCTCTGGGAAGTGGTTAGGATAAGATGAGGTTTTGAGGATGAGGCCTCTATGATTTCATTAGTGGCTTTATAAGAAGAGGAAGAGGGACCAGAGCTGGCACACTCACTGTGTCACCATGCTACACTCTCTGCCATGCTATGACGAAGCAGGAAGGCCTCACCACTGCCAGCACTGTGCTCTTGACTTCCAGCCTCCGGAACCGTGAGCCAAAAAAGCCTCTATTCTTTGTGAATTACTGGATCTGGGTGTCCAGTTATAGCCACAGAAAATGGATCACGACATCCTGCTGTGTACCAGGTACTGTTTTAAGGACTATATACATTTTTTTTAATGGTCATAGAGGATCGAACTCAGGGCCTTGCACTTGCTAGGCAGGTGCTCTACCACTCGAGCCACCCTTTTTGCATTGGTTATTTTTGAGATAGGGTTTCTCTTTACGCCTGGACCAGCCTAGGTCACAACCCTCCTATTTGTGCTTCCCTATGTAGCTTGGATGACAGGAGTGCACAA